AAGACAATCCGCTGGATGACAAACTCAACTTCGGTACCCACAAGACGCTCGTATTTTTGGATATGTGCCAAAAATTAACTCGTTAAGGAATTAATCCAAGTGTCAAGGATAACATAGGAAAGAAAATGAATAAAAATGAAAACATGCACACGGCGCCTCAAGCAATGCCACCGGCAAGTGCGAAAGCGCTGATTAATGGGCATTCCCTAGGAAAGACGCTGTTCAACGTTCACGAGCATTGCTTTCACAGTTGACAACAGTACCGAAAATCTCGCATCTCGCTCCAACGGACACATGATACGACGCCGCCAAAAAGCACCGAGTTGGTCAGAGGCTCGCAGTAGTCGCAGCAAGAGTAAGAGTGGCACTCTCGTAATTAGAAGAGCAACGTAGTGGCACGGATGACCTTGGAGTTGCCCACCGCGATGGCCCTTGATCGTGTCTCGTGGAGTTGTGCCTGCGTGGGAAGCACTTGAGGCCAAAATCAGCTCCGCACTAGAGAGCAGAGAGAGACAAACAATATCTTAGCTGTGGGCGATTAGCGCAAGAGAGAGAAAGAGGCACTCTGAGGAGCTTCTGCATTTCTCTGCCCAAATCCTCCAGAGTTCCACTCAGGAGAACGAGTGGAAGCTCATTTGCGCAAAGCAATGCCTGTCATTGCCAGAATTTTATGTTTTTCGCTTCCATCTATACGTTCCTTTCATCATTGTTAAGAACTCCCTCCCATTAATTATATTTATCTTTTCGAAAAAAATTGTTTCAATTTTAAAGTAACTTTTAATGTTATTTTTAGTCGTTTGGGTAGAATTGTATTTACCACCAGAGGTGAGAAGTGAGATTGATCCTGCTAAGCAACCAAGGCTTTGGTTTCGAAGCGACTTTAACCGTGATAAAAATAATATGTTTATACTCTTCTGGTCCTTAATATAAGACCCTTTTAACTAATTTGATTAGATTAAGGAAGTTAGGTGAGTTAGTTAATTATAAGAAAAGTGACACATTTTTCCTAAAAAATCATAATCATCTTTCTTAATACCTCATTTCCCTCTTCCACTTGATTATGATTGAGATAGTATTTATAGGGGTAATTTAAAGAAAATTGATAAATATGAAAAATAAGTCTTATATTTAGGACCAAAATCAACTCAAGAATTACGTCCTATATTAAGGACTGGAGGAGTAGATAATTTGAACTGTTTTTCTTAATCTTTGAAAAGCAGTTTGTACAGCATGTAGAAATGACTGGATTACTAATATAACTATATTGTCTTTGTGCATGAAATGCACGTGTCTGATGTCTTTTTTAATGGATTAAGGGTGGATGCATGTATAAGACAATTATCTAGTTTTTAAAGCACCTCGATACTCAAAAAGACCTGCCGAATTATACCATCGTACCGGAAGGATTAAAATAATAATTGGTCTGATAAAAAGTCAGTCCAAAACTCACAAGATCATTAATTTGAATCATACTGCCAATGTGAAAATTTTGTCAGTAAGTACTCCTCCGGTTCTAATTATAAGACCCAATTAACTTATTTGAGGAGATTAAGGAAGTAAGTTAAGTTGGTTATTTATAATAAATAAGTGTTGTCATTCCTAAAATATCCTTGCTAATTAAGTATATTGGCTAAAACTATCATTATTAGAAGGATTATCTTGGAAAAAAATGCATAAATATAAGAGAGAAAATGGATTGGGTCTTATAATTAGGACCAAATAAAAAGTCAAATTGGATCTTATAATAAGGACCAGAGGAGTAATTCGTAGGTGCATATCTCTGTAAAAGTCACTGAACCTGAAAACATAACTCATCTAAATTATTTGTGTTAAAAAATAAAGTTATACATTAGGGAGTTTGTAAATAACAGGTGATTCCTAAACACAAGGCGACTGAATTCCTAACAGGTGACAGAGAGAATATACGTGGAGGACGTTACCAGACACCTGTGTATGGATTTTTTTTTTTTCCCCGCCATTACCTGTGTGTGGATTGTTAACGCGTTCTATATGTAGTAGTATTTTTTTTTTTTTTTTATTCGGACCTTACATGGTACTGGCAGTAAAGCGTCCCATTATGCACAATGGAGTAACTAATCTACTAAATCGCACTGCTCCCATCCCAATTTGTCTGCTGTGAAAAAAACACCAGGGCTACATAATGGCGCCAAAGGGCAAAAGGGAAGCGGAAAGAGCCCGCCTTGTCGGGGGTTCACGTGCATAGGCGCTTAGCATGGTTATGTTTTATATGGAAACTGGACGCATTAGTAAATAGTTTGTCATCAATTAATTCCATTTCGCAGTAGTATTATGGTTCGATTATTATCATTAGATATTTTTATTCATCAAAGAACTAGCTAGTTTGGCGGAAAATATTGAGATTGTTTAAGTATTTGGTCACTATTAGTTTTATAACTGCTTGTAAATTAAATTTTAGCTTCAAATTAAGAAATTATAGAGACTAAATCTAAGGTTATTTAACATTAAAATACTAAAGAATCTTTAAAATGTATTACCGTTGTGTTTACGTACCAGGGAAAAACGAGAATTTAAAAGAATTGAAACAATAAATTATGGAAATAATTAAATCATCAAATGAATAAAATTTCACCTATCTCGTCTGCTTGCAAATTTAAAAATATGTATTGTCGATCAGACTAATATTGAAATGCAAGAGAAAATATGCGACAAAAATATCATAGAAATGAGAAGGAAAGCGAAGAGAGGAGACACAAGTGTGGCTTGTGTATGAGTGCAGGGTGCAGCATTAGCTGAAATGGATGCAGTCCCAACCGACTAATTAACGGAAGATTGGGGGTTTGGGAGTTGGACGAGATAGCGACAATCTGATGAGCATGGGAGAAAATGAAAGCCACGTACACGGAAGGGGAGTGTGGGACTGTTGGTGCCATGTGCCCTCACTCCCCTCTATTGCCGTCGTACCTTGGTAGGCCCCACGGCAGCTGTCATCTCCACCACGAATTGAATTCCCGACGTCGCCCCCCATTCCCCATTTAAATTGCGCCCTTGCCATTCTTCCAGGCTCACGTTTTTACTTTTTACAGCTGCTCTATTTATGATTATTTGAAGGCTCTTATATTAGGTGAAACAAAATTTTCCTTGTATATTTATCTTATATTTATTAAACTATAATTAAAAATTTATTTTTAAAGCCTTCACTTGTTATTTCAAACAAGTCGTTAATACTTAAGTCAATGTAGAAAAATTCATATAGAATAGGGTTGTGTTGAATAAATAGCACATAATAAAGATGAATGACCCATAAATTCAGTTATTTGTGTTTTGAATTAAAATGCAATGCCATCATTTCTTATGGGGCGAAATTTTTATGTCATGAGATAGTTTGGATTGGGAGTTATCACGGAGAAAGCACAGGATTGGGGAGGAGCCAAGGCTACAGCTGAGTTTTTGAATTAGAGCCAGACAATAGGTTACTTTGGGTGTTTAGTTGACCAGAAAAGCAAAATAAATGTTTTTAAACATATCAAAACAAAACTCCTCACACAAAGATATTTTTTATATCGTAAAATTATTTTTAAAATTATTATTTAGTATCTACCCAAATACCTTTTAAAATTGAGATAAACTCGTTGTGGATTGTAAAACCACTATTGTGGCTTATTTGGATCCAAGATCAATAAAGCTGTTGTAAGCATATTTATGCAAGATGGGCAAAATTTTCCCTGCATATTTACCTTTTATTTCATAAGTTATAATCAAGAAGTTGCTTATAAATCATCTCAAACAAGCCTTTGGTAGGTAAGATTTTTCCAACTTAGCTCGTAATATAGTGGGCTGGCACCTATTTATTCATTTTAAAATTTTCAATTTTTAAAAGCCATCAAATTATATTATAGACCATGCAACCCATCTTGCACGACTGATTCAACCATATAAAAAATGATAAATTAATACAAAACCAAATCTCAGCAGACATCAAGCGCGGACTGATATATTTGGTTGCACACCCAATATTCTAATAATCTTGACTCAATAAGCTAATTAGGCAAATCAAAGAAATTAACAAAAAGAAACGGAGGCCGAACAAGATAGCCCGCCCCATTTTTCTGACAAGCTAGGCAGGGCTACTCATCTTTTTTTTTTTTAACTCAAAAGTATAAGTATTTTTCTATTGGAAGCAATCCTATTCGAGACACTATCAGGTATTAAATGTAGATACCTCTCCTAATAGGAATTCGAATATTGATTCGTTATGTTATGAGATACTAGCTTCTTTCACTGTACCTAGTTCCTGTTGGTAGGGTTAGCTGCTCATTTTAAATTGCCTTAAACAGGTCAGGAAACTTTCAACCCAACATTTCATTTTTTGTGGACTACACGGTTCGCCCGTATACTGACGTCCGGGCTGCGGAAAGGGGGGTGGATGTAATTATATATTGCTAGAAGCCTTCCATGCATCAGGCCATAGAGTCACTGAATCCGAGTTCTCATGTATTTAACCAGACGTATGCTAAAAAGGTGGCGTATTAAAAGCCAAGTCCACCTCCATTGTACTGTTCTCTTTTACGTGTAAGAACTGTTTTCTTGATTTTTTTTTTTTTTACTTAAAATCGTTGCACACAAGACAATCCGCTAGATGACAAACTCAACTTCGGTGCCCACAAGACACTCGTATTTTTGGATATGCGCCAAAATTTTAACTCATTAAGGAATTAATCCAAGTTCCAAGGATAACATTGGAAAGAAAATGAATAAAAACAAAAACATGCACGCGCCGCCTCAAGCAATACCACCGGCACCTGCGAAAGCGCTGATTAATGGGCATCTTCCCAAGGAAAGACGCTGTTCAATGTTCATGCACATTGCTTTCACAGTTGACAAATCTAGTATCTCGCTCCAACGGACACATGACGACGCCGTCAAAAAGCACCGAGCTGGTCACAGCCTCACAGGCTCGCAGTAGCCGCAGCAAGAGTAAGAGTGGCACTCTCGTAATTAGAAGAGCAACGTAGTGGCACGGATGACCTTGGAGTTGCCCACCGCGATGGCCCTTGATCGTGTCTCGTGGAGGTGTGCCTGCGTGGGAAGCACTTGAGGCCAAACTCAGCTCCGCACTAGAGAGCAGAGAGAGACAAACGATATCGTAGCTGTGGGCGATTAGCGCAAGAGAGAGAAAGAGGCACTCTGAGGAGCTTCTGCATTTCTCTGCCCAAATCCTCCAGAGTTCCACTCAGGAGAACGATTGGAAGCTCATTTGCGCAAAGCAATGCCTGTCATTGCCAGAATTTTATGTTTTTCGCTCCCATCTTTACGTTCCTTTCATCATTGTTGAGAACTCAGAACCACAAATATAACATCTGGTACTGCATTCTCTGGAGCAGGCGTCACATTTCTTTTATTTTTTTGGGCGTAGTTTGTTTAACGAATCTGCACTGTGAGTTGAAGCTTTAACCACTGTTAATGTTTCTGACTCAGTTACCTTTTTTTTTTTTTTTTTTGCTTTCTTCCTTTTTCCCCTTTGGGCAATGAAATATAAGAACGGTTGGATAGTGATTTCTGAACCTGGCTTTTGGTTAAGTGGTTCAGCTATATAACTTCAATTGAATGGTTGTGATTTTTAGATTTCTTCATTGATAGTGCATGAAAAAATTTATCAAATAAAACAATTGAATTTCTTAGTTTAACTTTGTTGATTTTGGTCCCAGGTTCCTATTTTTACTTTTATCTCTTCAGTTGTTGCGAAGCGAGTCTGGAAGCGTCACTGATAGTCTCATGCTTTTTTGATTTATATTTCCCCTTTCTCTTTTTCACTGCTTCAATTGCATTTACTACGTTTTGCAGTGCTTCTGTCCCTATCCAAGATCTTTGAAGGAGATGGCGTTTCTGATTGCTTCTTTCAGAGGGCTCGATCTGGCTTAGCATATTTGACTATCTAGATTGACGGCATTAATTTTGCTGAGTCCTTGGCAGCGCAGGTAGTGCGACGGATTGCAAGTGTTATGCCTATAATGCCCATTTTATTCGCTTAGTTGAAGTTAAATGAATTCAGATATCTGAAATCTACCTACAACGTTTTCAGACTTTAAATTGTATCGTGAGTTATTATCGGACAAATTTTTTGGTCGGCAATTTTCTATTTTAGCTCCTTTTTTATTTAATTTGCTTTCCATTCTCATCAGGGAAGGCATGAGAAATGAATCACCATTGTTGTAATTTGGTGCTGTGGCTACACTAGCTGGATTTCTGGTTTATTTTCAGATAGCATGGCATCGTCGTGGGATCATCTTGGGGAAGTTGCAAATGTGGTCCAGCTAACGGGCTTGGATGCTGTGCGGTTGATTGGGATGATTGCAAAAGCTGCAAGCACAGCACGGATGCACAAGAAGAACTGTAGGCAGTTTGCACAGCATCTGAAGTTGATTGGGAACTTACTGGAGCAGCTCAAGATCTCAGAGCTGAAAAAATATCCAGAAACTCGGGAGCCTCTGGAGCAGCTTGAAGATGCTTTAAGAAGGTCTTACATTTTGGTCAACAGTTGTCAGGACCGGAGCTATCTATATTTGCTGGCCATGGGCTGGAACATTGTTTATCAATTCAGAAAGGCTCAGAATGAAATTGACCGTTACCTACGTCTTGTTCCTCTCATCACTCTTGTCGACAATGCTCGAGTCAGGGTATATGTTGTGCTTAACTGTGTTCGATTATCAGCTATCACTTGTTATGTATGTTCCTTTTATTAGATAAAAGGAACAAGTTTGTGGTGGTTCATTCCAATTGTGTGCATGTAAACTATAATCCCATTTTATGGAATCCAAATTAATCAAAACTTGACATTTTCTATATATCTTTTGTGATGTTTTTAACTTTGCGAGTTTATGGCAGCATCTTTGTATGGTCCATTTTGGTTGCAGATTTTCTCGAATGATGTTAACAATCATTTACTCTGAAATATCCAGGAGAGACTTGAAGCTATTGAGAAGGATCAGCATGAGTACACATTGGATGATGAGGACCAAAAGGTGCAGACTGTGATATTAAAACCTGAACCTGACAAAGACGATGCTGTGGTGCTGAAGAAATCTCTTTCCTGTTCTTATCCCAACTTGCCCTTCAATGAAGCACTTAAAAAAGAAAATGAAAAACTTAAGTTAGAGCTACAACAGTCGCAGGCCAATTTGGATATGAATCAGTGTGAAGTCATTCAACGTTTATTGGACGTGACAGAAGCTGCAGCCGACTCTGAGAAGTGTTTGCCTGAAAAAAGTCATAAGAAAGTAGAGGACAGTTACTTAGATGACAATAGTGACAAAGGTTATGCTTCTGATGAAAAATATAACAAGAAACGTGACCCTTCTTCAACATTAAGGTGATTCCCAAATCCCAGCTATATATGCTCTCACTCATGTCAACTATACTGACCATAATAGAAAATAAGTATGTTAGTTTTAAATCAGATGCTGTTGACAGCCAGGCAGGCCCAAAATTAGACTTCTAATCTTAACTTGGAGCAGCTTTAACCACTTTGAGTTCTGAGTTTCTTCAACCCAAAATTAGATTTGTAATTATAACTTGGAGCAGCTTTAACCACTTTAATTTCTGAGCTTCTTTAATCTCTCCTCCTCCTCCTCCTTGTATTTTCCCTTCCAATATTGAATGTCTTGTGTTACAAACTTATATTGATTCTCTATCTGATGCTCTGCCACAAGCAGATCATCAGTTTCAGGAAAGGATCTGCTGCAAACTGGAGGTTCATATCAGCTGGGAGAATGGCACAATGATTTACTTTCATGTTGTTCTGAACCCTCTCTATGTACGTGCTCATCTGCTGTTAATTCTAGTTTCATTAGGTATGGTCGTTCACCAAGGAAGAGTGATTTACAACAATACAAACTCGAGTAGGCCTCAGCATTTTCATGGATCTTAACTCTTAAGATGAGCTGCACTGTTTATGTTTTTGTTATATGCATTTTGTGATGAACTGTATGTGTATTCTAATAATTCATGCATATTTAGGAACTGCATGGCTCACCTTTGGATTATACCTTCAGTCATAGGTACACTTCCACATAACATCTAAATTGTAAATATTTTGACCATTCAACAAGATCCAAGAAGACCCTAAGTTCAAATATTAAAAGGATTCACTTTTAGCAGTGTGAAGATTGCTTAATTCTCCCCCTTTCTGGGTATATTATCCGAGCATCACTAATGGGCAGCATGATTCTGTCAGTTAACATGATTGGTATCGTGCTGGCTGCAAATTATGCTTGTGTGGGGTTTGGATGAGAGGCTGTGCAGTATATTTAGAAACTAGAAGCAAAAATTATCAATTAGGATGGAGGGCATGTGCGCTGTGCATGAGATGCCTGTGTTTAGAACTGTATTTCCGTGAGACTTGATGAGAACAGAAGTCGATAATGGTAACTGTGAAAGCAGGGATTCTCTTTCTTTTGATTTGCATGATAGAGACTGAATTACTATTGTGGAGGGATTGTGTCCTTGAGAAGTAGAAGATACCCAACTCAACAGTCGTAGAATATCATCCATGTAAAATGGATATGGATCACTACTCCAGTAGTTTTCTTTTTTGCAGGTATAAAAACTTTCTTCTATCCTTGTGGGACATTTTCAAAGATTGCTAGTGTTGCAACAAACAGGCATATATGTGAGTAAGCTAAAGATTAATATTTTTAGTTTTTGAGTAATGGATATAAATCTGAGATCTGCTTTGTTTGCACATGTTTCTTGCTTTTGCTAAGCTCGCTACAGAATTCAGGTAGATAAAATTTGGGTTCATTTCAGATTTTGTCATCTGGAAAAATCTCTTTCCTGTGTGTGGACCTTGGAATGCTAAAGTGATATTACATTGGATGAATATCCTCGATCAAAGTTTTAGGACCGCTGAATTCCACTGCAACTTTCAGTTTCTGCATGAGCTGTGATCACAAAGTTGTGATGCAGAGAAAACATTAAAAACAATCACATTTCTACTTTATGACGATGAGGGGTATGGACGAGCTAAACACCTCCCTTAAGTCTCTGTTATAGAATTCACAAGTCAGAAGGCAAAAATCTACAAACAACATACTGTGTTGCACCATGGCTAATAGTAGCAAAAATGAGTATATTTTTGTTTAAAAAATAAGTACATTTTTAAGGTGAAAGAGATTCAATTCCAAACAATATTATGCTGTGAGTAATGTCCCATCATATCCTTCCTTTGAGATCCTAAAAAACAATTATTTATCATTGCTCTACTTAGTAGAAAAACCTTTTGGTAGAAAAAACTTAATAGAAAAATCAGAGTACATTTTTGTACTCTTTTGGTTCTTAATGTAAAACCTATGTAACTAATTTTAGTATATTAAGAAAGTTAGGTAAATTAATTATGATAATATGGTGTGTTTTTTCTTAAACAGTCTAACCATCTTCCTTAATATTCTCCTTCCTCTTTTATTTGATTATAATTGAAAGAGTATTAGTAGGAGTAATTCGGAAAAATTTGATAAATATGAGAAATATGTCTTACATTTAGGACTAAGATTTACTCGACAATTAAATCGTATATTAAGGATCGGAGGAGTATAATGAAAAAGCAATTGGGTTGATGAAACATCAGAACACAACCTAACACTGCTGGTAACATAGCAAGGCTAATTTTAGGATTAAAAAATAGGAAAGGGAATTGCACATTAACTGCTAATTTGCAAAATGTAAGCAACTATAACTAAGGAATTCGAGGATAAAAACCAAAACAAAGTAGCAGTTTCATACAAAAAGAGGCTACATGGTCTTTGAATTGGAGTAGGATTAGAAAAAAGCATGAAGAGAAATTGGAAGAGAAGCAGAAAACAATTGACCGAACCACTAAAACCATGATCTGATGTTTGCTGTTCTCCTCTCTCAAAGAAGGTGCTGACACTGGACTGAAACATTGTTTTCTATGTCTTCCTCCCTTGCGTTTTCTCATATGGTGCATACAAAGCATTGCATAAATTTGCACATTTTGCTGTGGCACAAGTATTGCATGGTTGAACACTCTGGTGCTGCGCCACATGCCAATTACCATTATGACCAGTAGTGAAGTCATCACATCGTACTTTGGAGGTAGCATAATATTAGATGTGAAGGGATGACTTTGTCATGTAGTTTTACACTTCTATGCTGTGGAAACAAAATGAAAGGTTTTGTTGGGTTATGGAATGTAGACTAAAAATTGAGGCCTTTGCTTTCACTTTCGGATTACAGTAAGAGTTCTAAACGTTGCATATGTATTCGAATTTGATGCTACTCTCCTTTTGATCTGGTTCATTTTTAACAATTGCATCTTTATCTGTGGCTATGCTGTTATAATCTCAGTCTTCTATTTTTCAGCTTCTGCAGAAGCATGTAATGAGTTGATGGCATATTCATTAGTCTTGTCATGCTGTTGCTATACTTGCTGTATCAGGAGGAAGCTTCGGAAAATGTTGAACATCACAGTAAGACTGATTTCCCTGTGCATAAATATGATCGTCTCTTATATGGCCACTATTTGAGGAACGAACTCATGCTCAAAACCCACTTGTTTAGCTTCTTTTAAGATGTGGTTGGTCATGTTTTTAAATATAAAATTGAAGGCTCTGAAACACTGATTTTCTTACAGCGGACAATGTGGTCATGTTATTGTGAGGCATATACACTGCGCCTTTTTTTGTTTTTTATTTACTCTACCTATTTCTCTAACCTACTAATATCAGTTGGCCGGCTGCTGTCCGGTGAAACCATATCACCAAGACAGTGCCTTTCTCTTTTGTGATTTCTACCGACTCCATTTTTGTGTGGGTTCTGATCATCCAATGAAGAAGCGGATTTAAAGAATATAGATATTGTATTGTTGAGGTTTAAATAAGCATCGGGGTTGATTACCATCACCACCTACTTGGCTCTGGCATTCCCTGGTCTCTCCAAATATTTTGCTACTTACCAACATGCCTGTGCAGGGTGGCTACGTTGATGATTTTCTATCTCATTTAATGTGTTGCTGCTGTGCTCTTGTCCAAGAATGGAGGGAAGTGGAGATCCGTGGGTTTTGTGGTATGTCCTTCTCGTCTTGCTAATGATTTTGGGCAACGTCGCCAATAGAATTGCTGTGAATTCTATTTGTTCGGACTTTTAAGGATGCCTACCGTGCATGTGCCTTGGTTCCTTGTGTTTCTTTTTCTGAACCAGCCTGTTGAATGGTCCTACCTTCGCTTTATAAAATTTTCTCCCTGTTTCTCAACGGAATTTACTGCGGATTTTCCTTGGCGAGGTTACTTTAAGTTTCCTTTCAGCACTGAAAACGTATACCATTGTGTAAACTGCATCGCAGGAGCTGATAAGACAAGTACAAGCCCTCCCCCCCCACAGCATATGGAATCTTAATCAGCCTAGCATGTATTGTTTAGTGGGATTTGGATGCATCGCTTTTGTGTAAGTCCGTTCACAATTTGAGTGACCCCGCTCGGCCTTGCACTTAGAACAGCAAATGCTTCTTGTACAGAAGTCTTGTAAATAGAATCTACCGTCGCATTAGAATTATCATAGACTGCGCCTTCGTTTGGCAAGAAAACACTTTCCTGTTGAAATTTGATGACCTGTTCTCCCCCCCCCCGGGGGGGGGGGGGTTATATCATGCAAATGCGAGGTTCGGTCACAATCCCCTGCTTCACTTTTTAATTACCTGAGCTACCTGTGGTCGAAAGTTTGCTCTTCATTGTGCTAATTTTGTTATATTTCTTTTTCTGCACTGACTTCGGCCCGGTGGCTCCCCCAACATTCTGAGATTGATGTTTTTGTTTTTGGCCATCGATTGGTGGCTTTATTTATACTTTGATTCTTTCTTCCTGGTTAATTTTGTCGTTTATCTGGACTTCAATTTTTTTTTTTACCTGAACTTATTTTGAGGATGCTACATAAAAATATCTTTTATGAAAATAATGTTATAAAAATATTTCAATTTAATCAGTGGAAGAAATTTAATTCTTTTTAAACAATGTTGATGTTGAGGATCTAAATTTTTTGGATAAAAAAATCACATTCAAAGAATTATCCAAAATAGATATGATGATATTCAAATTCAAATTTAGTCCAATAATAGTTTATTTCTGATAATTGTATAAAAGATATATTTAATTTTTGAAATGTCGTGGATATGGATGAAATAAAAAATTGTTTCTTCACAACAATTTTGGAAAAAAAAATTTAAGTTGTTCTAAGGGTGTGTTTGGGTGACACCCCAAACCATGGATTGGGAATAAATCACCCAAATACCCCCCCAAAAACCAAAACCATGGTTTTGGGTCAAACTATGTTTTGAAAAAGCAAAAAAATTTTGCTTTTGGAGAAAAAAGAGAGAGTGTGAGAGCCTATATGATATATATCTTGTTATTTTTTATAAATATTTAATCTTATATTTTATAAATATATATACATATTAATTATTTATTAATTATATTATCTTATGTATTATTAATTATGTTGGTAAAAAATATATTATTAACAATTTTATTCCTTCAAATTAAAATATATCATAAAATCTATTTTTTTGTAATTATCATATTAACTTATGTCTTTTTTAGTAATTTGTATATATAAAAAGTACTTCTGATAACAACTATCCAAACACTCTCACTTTTCAGAATCACTTTTTTACAATATCTATTCTTCACAGAATCTATTCTTTCCAGAATCTATTCTCCAGAATCACTTTTCCAAACCACGGTTTGGTTTCATCCAAACACACCTTAAAATGACATTCCTTTTTTTTTTTTTGCCCCATTCTCGAAACGATTATGTGGGCGCGTGCCCTCCTCCCAAAAGGTTTAATGGTAAAGTGTTAGAGGTGTTAAGTGTTAACTTACTTTTTTCCTTTCCTCATGCATGATTTTTTTTTTTGGGAATAACAAGGCAAGCAAAACTTGAGTGATTACATCAAAACAACAGCCTCAAGTCAGTTTACAGAGATATTGAAACACTGTCCTCTATCCCTAGGTAGAAAGCTTGAGTGATTGTTTTATTTTCTGATCAGTTTATGTTTACCCTTCTTTGTTATTAAAAAATACAAAAGTTTGACTATATTTTTCTTTAAGCTAAGTTTTTAATATAGCCCTCTGGTCATAAATGTAATATTTATTTTGTATTTATATTATACTATTAAAATGAATATTATATTTATAACCAAAGGATTATATACCTATCCACTTGATTGATCTAACTAACTGGATTTTTAAAAAATAACATTTTTATACATAAATAAATTGATAATGAGTTTTCAAGTTTGATCAAAATCAAATTTAGTACAAATTATATTAGGTTAGATTAAACTAAAAAGGAAGTTTCCAAAATTGAATCCAAACGATTTTACCGTGTCTGCATTGTGAAACGTTTTCGGCCGAAGAAGAGATTACGAGGCGATTAATCAATGAAATTCGAACACGTGTAAGGTCGGATGTCTTTCTTGGATAAAACGGGATCCGCCAAATCACCGTCAATAGAATCCTGAAACTTCTGGTAGCTCTATAAATATCGAAGCCCGTACACCCTTTTCCCTGATCATAAACTACTTGGATCCGGATTAGGGTTAGGGATTTGGGCGTTCTCCCTCCGGCTCTGACGACTCCCACATCTTACCCACACCATACCGTCGATCATGTCGAAGAAGATCACCTTGAAGAGCTCCGATGGCGAGCCTTTTGAGGTTGACGAGGCAGTGGCGCTTCAGTCTCAGACTATTAAACATATGATCGAGGACGATTGTGCCGACAGTGGCATCCCCCTGCCTAATGTGACCAGCAAGATCTTGGCTAAGGTCATCGAGTACTGCAAGAAGCACGTCGATGCTGCCAATTCTGAGGAGAAAATCTCCGAAGATGATCTCAGGGCTTGGGATGCTGATTTCGTCAGGGTTGACCAGGCCACGCTCTTCGATCTCATTCTGGTCAGTTAGTTTCCCTTGAAATGTTGTATTGTAGGCTTGTTATATTTGTTTGCGGTCGCTTTGGTTCCTGTCCTGTGAGATAATGTTGCAATAGTTAGGGTTAGGGTATTTTGGAATTGGGGTTTTTGTTTTATTCACATCATTGGGAAAATATATTCGGTATTTTCCTCTCATGGTAGAGTAGTGTAACTAGAACCTTTTCTGCCGCTATGGAACATATATGTGTGCCCTGATTAACTATTAGTGTGATGTAGCGCTCCAATCTAACCCTAGTTTCCTGCAACTCAGTCATATTGATTGAGCTTTTGTTCGGTTTTCTGTTTGTTGAACTGCCAATGATTATTATGAATATTGGTTTTCATTTTTTGCTCCTTTCCTCAACGTTTGTTCATCTGGGCTATGCATTTGCAACCATTACTGAGCCTAGTATGTTTGATTAATAACTCTGTTATCCATCAGGTTAGTTGCCATGTTGAAATAATTGCACCATGAGTCCTTATTTTCGAGGTCCATCTAATATTATGCCCATATGTGGAACTTTCCTTGAGAAAGACTGCGGCCGTTTACCTGCTCCCTTTGTTAAATATTCCTTCGATGTGATTCTTGTCTAAGTACTTTCATAAGACAATGTTTGCTTTATTTGCATGGTGGTCATGACGTTTTCTTTTAGGCCGCAAACTACTTGAACATCAAGAGCCTTCTGGATCTTACATGCCAGAATGTAGCGGACATGATCAAGGGAAAGACTCCTGAGGAAATTCGCAAGACCTTTAATATTAAGAATGACTTTACTCCTGACGAAGAGGAAGAAGTCCGCCGTGAAAACCAATGGGCATTTGAATGAGTGATCATGTATTAAGCTTTCTGAAGTTTCAATAACTTGCTATGGTTGTTTATGATATACTTAGTATATTTTGCTGAATCTATGTATTTGGTGACTATTTTCTCGTCTCAGACATATCTTCCTTCTTGAACTTATGTGCATTTTGAATTGTAAATAATAGCTTAATATGGAATGGGGGCGAGTGGTTTGATTCTGTCATGACACATTCTTAAACGGTAATGCATTGTGTATCTATCTCCGAAGAGCAAACAAATATTTTGCGTTGTTTATGGAAGCGTAGGTTTTTAACGCATAACTCCAGTCAGAGCTTGCCACAGGAATTGTGTTCCTATGTTGGTATAGAACGTGTACGTGCCTGAGCCAATTAACTTAATCATATATCCCTTTCCACTAAGAAAAAGCAGGCTTTGTAATTTCATTTTGGTGTGTGCCGGGGATACCATTTTATCCGTTTAGCTTCTTCGTGCAAGACGAAATTCACTGACGATAACAGGTCGTCTTAAGTGGTCGAACCTATAACTAATTGTCCAATCAAAGTTATTTATGATTAAATAAGAAGTGATAGTTGCAATTTGGTTCATTTTGGTTAATGCATGTCGTGACATTTTTGCCTCTCTTAAAAAGGTTTTAGCAGAAGGACTATATTGGGGCAAAAAATAAGGTCAATTTGATAAATTTTCAAAAGTCGAATCATACGTTGCTGGTGAAAGAACTTTGAATTATATAAACTTTGACAATAGTGGGGCCAATCTTCCAGATTGCTGTGCCAGAAGGGTTTCTATTTAAATTGTGTACTCTTAAAATCTTCTGTACAGCTTCATGTCTTTTACCCGGACAATACCGCTTAACAGAGCATACCGTGCTATTTTTTCTGCTTATCAGTTTTGCTGCAGTTCGTGTATAATTATGATCATGAATTTGCTTTCCAATTGCAAATCCGTTTTGCAAACAGGTGATGGAATCCTACAGAATTACTATTATTATTACTACTTCCAGTTCTTAATATAAAACCTTATTTAATTTTTATTTTGATCCTAAATATAAGATCTCAATCTATTTTGTTTCTCATTTATATATATTTTTTTAAAAATAGTCCTTCTAACAATAATAATTCTAACCAACACACTTCATTAGTAAGGATGTTTTAGAAAAGACTATATATTAGTTATTTTATTTATTACAAATAACTAACTTAACTTCTTTTCTTAATTTCCTCAAATTAGTCAACTAGCTCTTATAATTAAGACCTGATATAGTATTTGATTTTCTATTCTACATCAATTAATGGGATGTCTCAAGGATGCATAGCTCCCAGAAAGGTTAATACACCTTATTATGAAGTGTATTACCACTTCCTCAGTGCAAGTCATCTGGAATGGGAAAACTAAAGAAGCCTTCAAGCCTCAGAGGGGAATTCGACAATGAGACCCTCCGTCATTTTACATTTTTGTTCTCTGCGTGGAGAGACTTTCACGGGCAATAACCAAGGAAGTTAACAAGGGAACATGGAAGCCAATAAGAATGGGGCCACAAGGACCACCTTTGTCCCACCTCTTTCTCGCGGATGACCTTATACTCTTTAGTCAAACAGACCCGAAGCAAGTTGAATTAATTCACAACATGCTTGGAGACTTTTGCACCTCATCGGGCCATAGTATCAGCATAACCAAGACAAGGATCTTTGTCTCTAAAAATGTTCCAGTGCAGGAGGCCAACAATGTTTGTTCAAGATTGGGGGTTCAAAAAACAGACAACCTTGGTTCCTACTTAGGGGTCCCATTATTGCACAAAAGAGTGTCCCAAGAAACTTATAAGTACAATGTGGAAAAAGTTCAAAGAAAGCTCTCAGGCTGGAAAGCAAAGACGATGTCACTTGATGGAAGAATCACAATATCCCAATCTGTTCTCTCCTCTATTCCTATGTATGCTATACAATCCACAAAGCTCCCTCTAGGTACATGTAACAAAGTCCAAAACCTCATTCGGGACTTCATCTGGGGTACTACCAGCACCCATAAGGCAACCCATCTCATCAAGGGAAACGAGCTTTTCCAGCCCAAGCACAGTGGAGGATGTGGCGTGAAGCACCTGGCAAGTCAAAACACAGCCTTCCTAATGAAAATTGGTCAATCTGTTATAACGAGACCGGAACTACTTTGGGTGGAAATCTTAAGGGCCAAATATGGATGGCAGGACAAAGGAATGCCGCAGGACACACCTCGCAACACATCTCACCTATGGCGGAGCCTGGTTAACATTTGGCAGGATGTCGAAGTAGGCATGAAGTGGAAAATTGGGGATGGGAACAGGATCCGATTTTGGATGGACGTCTGGGTGGGCGATTTGGGACTACTGAAGAACCTTGCTTTTGTACCCCTCTCTGAAGACATACTACAAAGAAACTTAAGGTGGTATGTTAACAGTCAGGGGCACTGGAAATGGAGTGAATTCATTAGCCTGCTTCCGAAGGAGGTGATAGAACAAATTGAGCAGGTTAGCCCCCCATCAGTAGTGAACGTTCCAGACACTATCTCATGGTCAGTTAATGGCACACGGGATTTCTCGGTCAGTTCCGCTTATCAACTCCTAAAATCGCATGAATGGAGTGAAGACAGCCAAAAATGGAGCTTAGCATGGAAATGGCCGGGACCGCAGAGAATACGTACCTTCCTCTGGCTTGCACTAAGAGAAAAAATCTTAACCAATAAGGAAAGAGTCAGAAGACACATGGCTTTTGATGATACCTGCGGCGTTTGTGGAAATCACACTGAAGATCTGAACCACATCTTCAGGGGTTGCTCTCTTGCGCTAGACTGCTGGAAATTAGTCGTCCCGTCAAAAAAAAAAAAAAGGGATGTCTCCGATTTCATACTGTGGGCGCGCAGAACACCCACATGTTTATGCATCAACGGATGTATGCAGGGCTATTTGGATGCCGCCAATGATTTATTATATGTTATGGAAGAGATTCAAGGGTTTAAGCCTTACAAATAGACAAAAACCAGCTTGAAAGAGCTAGGAGTACTTGCCATTTGAGATCTGATCATATTTGAATTTGTACTTTTTAATAATATGAAATATAAAACTATTGTCACTGGTCACAAATATTTATTAGTTATTCTATTTATTTTGAAATCTTAAAATATATTTAATTATCTAAAATTCTGAAAACAATAGTTTGATAATAATATTTTAAAATAAATACAGAAAGTTCGGTAATAACTTTGATCCAAAAGTAATTATATATTCTTTTAACATGATTTCCGGAGAGCTTTAAACTGTAGATGCAACTTTTTTCTTGGAAAAAAAAAAATTTAGGCTACTTCTTAAATTATGTTATATCCATTGCGGTTAGGTTAAATGGAAGTCTTGGCAAAAAAAAGGGGGGGGGGTTAAATGGTAGAGATCAATACTTCTTCAGTAAAGTTTAAATTTGAGTTTTGTCAATAAAAAAGATTAAACTAATTAGACCACCCATTGTTTAGAAATATGGCTCCTCATTTTGAGTTACTTGCACATATTAGAGTTCACTTTAAGTATAATATGATAAAATAAATTACTACTTTCTTGATCCTAAATGCAAGATCCATTTATCATATAAATTAATTATACTATAAAGTAAGAACCGGCTGAGCATATAAACTTTTTTATTTTTAATTAATGACAAAAAAACACACCCGACAATTTGAGCAGGCGTACTCAGATCCACAATCATGGCCTTCCACATCAAGGGAAGTAATTTGGGAGTCCACTGGCTTAAATGTCTTGTTGAACTTTGTTAATTTGCTTTCAACGGGCTGCAAGAATAAATTTTGATCGTCCAATACGTTGGGCCCTTTCTCTCAGGTAATATACTGGAGCTTTATGGGCCCCGGAGTCCCCATCAGTTTTCTTCCCCTCCGTGAGCAAAATTTCGTTCTCCTATTCGTAATTCATATCCGAGAGGCAAGAGGATAGCAGCAGATGAAATGGTGAGGACGAGCAAAGCGCTTCTGCAGAAAGCAGAGACACTAGGGAAGACCCTAACGGAGATACTGGTTTGCCCTATCTCAAAGCAACCCTTGAGGTTCCCAATGATTCTCACTTGTGTTGATTTCATTTTGTTGTTTCTTTTTCTTATTTTTGCCTGAACATTTTATTGCTTCATGGGACGTTTACCATTTATTTCATTCTCTTGTTGAATAGGTTCTGTGAGGAAACAAATGCCCTAATCAGTGATGCCATCGGCGTTTCCTTTCCTGTGAGTTTCCCTTCCGCTTATAATTCTTGATTTGTGTGGTTCGTATTTGTGCTCTACATTTGAAAGATTCTTCGAAGAGGTCTGAACTCCAAGTTGGCTCTGTGATGTGAATTTTTAACAAAGTTGAACTTGAGGGAATCAAATGATCTTGGACTTCAAGGGTTTTTGGCTGGTTTATTGGGGAACCTTCAGGGTTTATTTATCTTCTTTTCTTTTTTTTTCCTTTCCTTGATTGCTGGTATTATATTCTATACGAGCTTTCGTGGGACTTTTACTACCGTTTGCCGTAATGTTGGGTCTCAAAAAGTGATCAACTTGATGGCAAAATAAAAGCAATAATCTCTTTGAATTCAAGAATAGAGCCAGATAGACCTGCCGCTTTCGTTGTAATCGATTATATCCCTTTTTTTTTCTGCCAGATAAAAAATGGGATTCCTTGCTTAGTTCCCATGGATGGCAAGATACTTGAGGAAGAAGGTACAGCAAAGCCCGAGGATACTGCCAATTCATCATCAAGAACTGAAGAGAATCATGGAAGAAATTCTTAACTTGAACTGTGAGACATTATATCTTTGCATTATTAGTTGATATTGGCTGTTCCCATTACTTGCCTTGTATGTCGCTCTCGATGTGATGATCAGTTATCTATTAGCCTGCGGCTAAATCTGAGCAGATAAGAAGCAACTCCATCACCACCAGGGGCAGAATCATTTTTGACTTTTTAGAAGTGAAGATTTTGTGTTACAAACTGGTTGTGTGCTAGTGACCCGTGATCCGGGGTATTCATGTATCCCAGATTTTGCTTTGTAGAGAAGTTGTTGGATTATACACTGTTGACGATTTGTACTGTCATACATGTACGTCTATGGGCAAACATCCGCACCCTTATATAAATTCACTACAGTTTAGAGAAAATATGAATGAAAACAGTACCAAGTATGTTGTGCCACAAGAGTATGTAAAATCACCTTCAAGTCCTCTGTCCTAAATCCTGTAGAAGGGTCTGTATGTGGGGGATTTTGCTTTAAGAGTCTTTCAAACCTTCGTCCAGTGCTAATATTAACAATGTGTGAATCCCTTTCATTTGGGGCATGGGAATTGGAGTATTGTTGAAAATAGTTTGAAAAGTTATTGCGAACCAAAATCTGATAAGGAGGTAAACTCTACTTGAAAATGCTAGCGGATTAGGACCACCCAAAGATGAACACATTGTTCCATGTATGAACTCATAAATGAAGTGATTTATTGAGCCAAAAAAATTACTAGTTTGAAAAATATGAGGCAGCCTTTTAATCCCTCATATTCTCTTTTCTAATGGAAACAGAGATATCCTACTCGCAAAGTCTATTGTTTCATGGTACGGTGAATTCCTTTTGGATTTAATTTTGTGAATGGCCTATCATCTTCGTACGGATTATATCTTGCCTTGAGGACAGTGTGGTGCACAAATGATGCAAAGCTTGCAAATCTCTTATTTTAACTTTGTCTTTTGGCTGCGTTGTTAACCCTACTTCCCAGCGGGCATTTACTTTGTACTGTGTTCTCATTCCTAAAGATTTTGTTGTCTACGCCAGATGATGTTCTCTTATAGATTACAACTAAAAAGCAGGCTTGGGCAATGAAGTTGTGGAAATTACTGGGTGTCAGTTTGGTTCAGGTTATGGCATTTTGCTGCGGTGATAACTGAGTTTGGAGAAATAAGTACACCTCTAGGTAAATAAAGCTAAATGGGAAAGCGATATAAGATGTTAATAAAAGAAGTACCCACATTTCTCTTTGTATTTGAGTTGGTTTACCTATAAAGCGGGGTTGAATTCTCTTCATCGATGCGATGCTTCACTTTTTAACCAGAGAAGTATTATGTACCCCGCAGTAATGGTATACCCCAAGCACTTACCGAGGAAATTGCGCACAATCCTCATTTGTTTGTTTTTTTCCAAAATCAACCTCTGTTGTTGTTCAAGACGTGTAGGACACCTGACATGAGAAAACTAGCCCCGGTTTGGGTAAAGAGAAAGACATGCAATAAAAAATATTAAGGAGAAAAAACTAAAACGACAAAAATTAGGAGTTTTTCCTCCGAGTGTTGGGTCTATGACCCTGTTGAATCGCCCCGAAAAACGAAAAAAAAAATAGGCATTTTTGTTTTGGGCAGAAAAAGATAAATGAAAAGGAGCGGAAAACTATTGCGCGGGGGCCAGGGTCCCGCCACTATTTGAAACCTTGGTATAAGAGTTTTATAATCAATTTGTATTTGTGCCAAAAAAAGCAATCAATTTGTATAGTTATTTGCTAAAAATGTTTGTTAATTTTTCTGACATGCCTTCTAGTCATTTGTATTAAGAAGTTAAAACTATCTTTTCATGAAAACATTCTTAATATGTATAATCAATAAGAAAATTTAAAATGCCAGTCAAAAAGAAAAGTTTAGAACGAAGATTATAAATTTGAAAAATAAAACGAATGAAAATCTTAAATTTAGGAGTAAATGAAGTATTTTTTGTTTTATTGTTTAGCTTACACTATTTACTTTAAGATTATTTGTTAGAACATATATTATCATTCTAAAATTTTTAGAATAAAAGAAAATTGTAAAAAACAAAGTAAAATCTGAACAGTACAAATTAATGATACATATTCTACTTGGGATCTCTATCATTCATTCATAAGACCGTTTCGGTCGTACGGCGTGCCTAGCGAAAGGTAATGGAATCAAAACTCGAAAGCCATATAAGATTGAAACTTGAAAGAGCATAGGATCAGAACATAAAAACAAGTTGATATAAGGTTTTTGTTAGTAGATGATATGTAAATATTTTTGTAAGTATTCTCTAACTTTAAGACATGTTCTGACTCTTGTGAATTCTGGTGAACCTACTCACCTAAACTTTTGTTTATGGAAAAAAAATTGAAATAGAAAATACCAGAAAAATGATATGAGCAAATATTAAATTAAATATTGAAAACGGCATTATATCCGCCTCTAAAGAAACAGATTATCATCCAAATAGACCATGATCCCTTCTAGTGAAGGCCCAAAAAAAATAGTCCCTTTCAGTTTTACAAATTACAATGGACCGGAGAAAACATCAAGCTTCCGTTGCCGGGAATCGAACCCGGGTCTCCTGGGTGAAAGCCAGATATCCTAACCGCTGGACGACAACGGACCGTGTTGTTTTTCTGCATCAAATTTTTTATGTTTAGTGAAATTTTTCTCCGCACCCTCGTGCACCTAACATTTTTGCATATGAACTAATAAACCGTCCGCACTATTTCGTTCATTAGTAGTATGCCTAGAATATTAGTTGACTCACTGCATTTGATGCGGGTATTAATCTTTAACTCAACGCGGAAACCCCTTTTTGACATAAATTTAACTTAACATCCGCTTCTTAATTCTTCTTTCATCCTCCCCCCTCCAATTACTTTTTTTTTTTTTGGGCCAACCCTTCCAATTGCTTCCGAAACTACGAAACAACATACACGAGTACAGAGCTGCATTTTGCGTCAATTATTCAGCTAAGGGAACATATGATCTGAGGACCAGTAAGCACGAGTTTAGAGAGATGAAGAAGTCGATGACCACTGTGCCGGTAGTGCTTAGTGTTCGAGCTGGAAGAAGAGGGAACATTTGGAGGGACTGAACGCCGGTGCTTGTTGGGTATTGAAGCTTTAATCCAAAGGGGGGCCATTGTACTCCATTTCCTTCTTCGGCCGCGCACCTGAATGACTAATGAGAGAGAACAACATTGTGTGGCCTCTTTTTCGAACCCAACGAATTTGTCAGTAGATACTGAACATTCTTTTCATAGTACTGTAATTTTTAATTTTAAATTTATTAAATTTAAATTTAACTTCTTCTTATTTAAATAATTTTAAAATCCTACCTATTTTAATAATTTTACAGATTAAATTTACTTATACAATCATAATCCAAACAACTTCTGTTTTTATCTAAAATTTTTTAAAATCCAATTCAAACATAACTCATATTACTCGATCAAATTTTTAGTTGCTTTTAACATTTTCAGAAGACAAATTGAAAATGAGCACCAATTAAAAAAATAGGCACTAATTCTTCTGTCATCCTCCTTTTCTCTTTTGGCCCAACCTGTCCTATTGCTTTGGAAACTACGAAACAACATACACGAGTAAATAACTGCATTTTGCGTTAATTATTCAGCATTAACACTACTCATAACTTTCTCGGCCACAACTTCCTTGTTTTCCAACTATAAACAAAAAACCGTTGGTAGGTTTTGCCTGTGACTTGTTGCTCTCGTATTGAATTGAACAGCTTATGACAAATCACTCACTCTAGGTAGTTTGACCTAACAATCCAGAAGCCACAGACTTTTCTCGTACATGAATTGTTTAATCGAGTTCCCTACTTCAAGGGCTATCGTCAATATCATGACCTCGTCAGATCTCAATAGACGTTCTCCAAAGCGAACCCCATAAATTCCTGGCACTCTTATTAGCTGATCGCATTAACACAGTTACACGAGAACAGAGGATCCTGCCAGTGCGAGCTTACATTTATAACTGTCTATGTCCCCTAAAGAAACGCAGACAACCCAGCTTGGGACGTGAAGCCACTCGGTGTCCCCTCACATAATATAAATCACAACAAATTTGTAGCTGGTCAATAGCATCCCCTCACCACAAGAAATGAGTAAAGAGGTAAGGAATTGCTAATAGCAATGGCAACCAAATGAACATATCGTATATTTTAGTTTAAACCTATCTGGTTAGAGGCTGTGCGTTCATTAAACCAATGATATAAACTACTTTAGCATACCCAACACTTGCATCATCCCACGCCTTTTGCCCGAAGCAAAGTGAAAAACCAACATGTAAAAGAAGGATAACGTCAAATCCAGGAGAATAATACCATATAAAGACCCATCAAACTAGGTTCCTTTTAGGGAACGCAAGAGCAGCCTCTTTTAACAAACCTGCGCGATCTTTACGCAAATCATACTTGCTCAGGCAACAAATTGATGCTGACAAAAGGCACAACTAAGAATCAAACCGAAAAAAAGAAATACAAGACATTCAAATTATATCTGAAACCCTAACATGGATCGTAGGCATTTACTTCAAAGGGTAAGTTTAAGAAGCAATGAAAAGGAGATGCCACTATTATAATACTCGTCAAAATGGAGCAGTAAATGTCCGAAACAGAGGGTTCTTCCTTTTCTCCAAGGTCGACGCTTTGGACCACTGCAAATAATAATAATAAGGGCAGCAATTATACATCACGTAACATTGATGATGAAAGCTGTCACGCAACAAGGGAAAGGCTTGGTTGGAAAAAGCAAAACATATAAAGTCCAACCTGTTCCTGCTGTTTTCTGAGTCTCTCATTTTCTTTGGTCAAGTACTCGACCTTCTGCTCCAACTCATTCGTGTAAGCCTGAAGGGGAAACCACACACCTTTAGACAAGACAGAGACATGGATTTTGAAAACGAATACATTTGCAAGTTACATAAGAGTGAAGGAATCAAAAGGCAGTCTTTTCCTGCTTCCTAGCTCGGGATCTAGCAGCGGATTCCCGATTCTTAATCATACGCTTGTGTCGCTCACTCCCCGAGCTATCGCTGTGATTATTAACATTATAAATAGGAGGGTTATTGGGATCATGAATATCAGACTCAGGAAACTGCCTCTTGTATCGAAAGGAGGGCGAAGCAGAAGCGCAAGGGAAAGAGGAAAAGGGATGATTAGGAGTTAAAGACGGGAGGCTCGCGGGGTGGGAGTTGGTGGGTTTAGGAAGGGTGTCAACGAAGGGGAAGCGAGGGCCGACGGAGCCGAGGCTGAGGGCGGTGACGAGAGGAGAGGCGGGAGAGAGAGAGGAGGAGGAGATGTCTTGGGAAGAGGGAGAATCATAGGGAGATCGAGCCAGAAAGTCTTGAAAGATGACGCTGCGGTAATCGGCGTTGGAGGCTCCATGGGGATCGTTCAGGGTTGACAGATTGATATCTTTCCACACCTCTTCCATGCTTTCGGTTTGCTAGCAGACGAGGAGAGACGCAGGACTAGGAAACAAAGAAGCAGACGACGACGAAGAAGAAGAAGGAGAAGTAATTATGGTGGAGTATCCAGAGGAGGTTGATAGGCTTTTAACTTTTCAAACAAACATGGCATGACCGTGGCCCAGAGGTAACAGTCAGTAAGTGTGTCCAAGTACTGATAGATTGCACGAGCGAGCACAGAGATAGGGGGGTAGAGGTCTCATACAGTGGAGAAGCGGGAGAATAAGGAGTTGGCTTTGCTTGATATTTGCACCATTCTCTGGGCGAATGGTCATGTCGGACGTCCCCGGATGGAGCGCCCCAACACTCCGTCTAATCTTACTTCCTTTTTTGAAAAAATAACTCGACATTTGAAAAATCTGAATATATGACATGACATAAAGAGTAAGTCCCTCCTTTTTTGTTTTTTTTTTTGGGTTTCTCAGCTCATTTAATCAATCAAAACTCGCAATAAGGGATGAGTGATACTGATGAGTGTTTCATGGCCAGGAGTTTAGCTTTTAGGCCTCAGTAATGCATGATGGTTGCGGCATTTTAGTTACCACTGTGAAGGCGGCACATGAATGCTTAACAAACCACAGTCATTCGAATTTACTCCGCACATGATATGCTCGCCAAGAAATCAATTTAACGTGCGAGAAAACGCATGCAGATTGGTAATTTAAGTAGCACGCGTATTATTGCCATGGTTGGATGGTGCGAAAAAATGTATTATTTGGGGCTAATTGTAGATTTGCAAATGTATGGAGTGTTTAGATGAAAACCAAACCATGATTTAAAAGTGTTTTTACAGTATATGAGGTAAATATATAGAAGAGTTTGTCTCATTTTACAGAGAAGTACTTTTGGGTGTTTCCAAATACCCCGTAGTAACTGTTCCTTGGGTATGTGTCCGGCAAAGCGTGGTCAAGGTGAAGGGAAGAGACATACCGCCAATCTTAATGAGATGACATGGAATGTGGCGTTTGAGAATGTTCGCATTGTGGATCGGGCGTGCGTTGGACCTTTTTGCTCAATTTCTTCCACATGCTTTGGCTCGCATTTTTAGCACGTATTGCTAAATGCGTCACTATTCTTCCTTTTAAACTACTACTTTCAGTCCTAAATATAAGAGTCAGTTAATTAATTTGAGGAGATTAAAAAAATAAGCTTAGTTAGTTATTTGTCCTAAATAGATGTTATTTTTTCTAAAATATCCTTACTAATCAAGTGTATTAACTAGAACTATCATTATTAAAATGACTACTTTAAAAAAATTATACAAATATAAAAGATAAAGTGAATTGAAATCTTATATTTAGAATCAAAATAAAAATCAAATAGGATCTTATATTAAAGATGGAAAGTACTCTTCCGGTCCTTAATATAGGACCCAATTCTTGAGTTGATTTTGGTCCTAAATATAAGACCTATTTCTCATATTTATCAATTTTCTCTAAATTACCCCTATGAATACTCCCTCAACCATAATCAAGTAGAAGAGGGAGATGGGGTATTAAGAAAGATGATTATGGTGTTTTAGGAAAAATGTGTCACTTTTATTATAATTAACTAACTTACCTAACTTTTTTAATCTAATCAAATTAGTTAAATGAGTCTTATATTAAGAAGGAGTAGTATTAAATTAAAAGGAAAGAGAAATCCACTTGTGAGGTCACGGGCAGAGCTAGCTCGCAGCTCCATCAACGCTGAGAAGTAAAAAGCTGTTTTAAATTGAGGAAAGCATCCTTGATTTGACTATTCGGCACAAAAAAGAAACTAGCCTGTACTCCCATTTCCCCCTGCCGACACGTTTGAGAATTTATGATTAACAGAAGCCTCACTTCCAACTTGACGCCTGCTAATGCTCATACTCTCTTCTCTGCGTTACCCTCCGCTCTCCCTCTGACCAAACCAGATATTTCAATCCCATAAAGCAGGTGCGGGTCCATATATTATAGTACATATTTTTCACAGCTTTTTTTTTATTGATATGCCACTATAAACAGTCAATAAAAATATCATTGAAAAAAATATTGTAAATCCATATAGGCACCTAGCGAAATTAGCACCGAGTTTTTTTTTTTTTTGACCAAGAAGAAATTAGCACCGAGTTTAGTGGCATCAATATCCTTACGAGTGTATTAAATGTCTTCAAACTTAGGGCTTTATAGTTTATTTTAGTAAGTACGAAACTTAGGGGGGGATGTTATAAATTTCTATAATTCATATAATTAGAATTACATCTTAATTGATATTCTTTTTAACATGTGTAATTAATAGAAATATTCTAAACAGAAACTTATAAAAATAGGCTGAGATTTTATATTTAAATTGAAAATAAATATCTTTTTTAGCTCTTATATTTTTTTATGATAAGAGATAATATTATATGGTTACTATCATTTAATTTGTATGAAGAGCAAATGAAATATTTGGAGGCTATGAACTTGGTGTGTTGTTTCGTTTGTTGACTTCATAGACTGGGAGGGTCACATGAGGGCTAGTGAGTGCCTAACGGGGATGGATATCATAGATACAATACTTATCTGGGGAGGAAGGCTTGTGGGTAGCGATATAAAAGCGGGGAAGGCTAAGCTCAGGATGCAGATGGCTGGCCTTGAATGCCAAAGGGAACTCCTACTCCTGCCACTCGCGCGGAATGTAGCCCCTCAAAAAGGGCGAATTCCCAGTTGCGATTTGGGATGCACCCCTGTCGGATCTGAATTGAAGATCTTGCGGAGTTGATTACCGCTTTTTGGCCATCGGCCACGCTTGCATGAAATAGCACGTGACATCGCACAACACTGCTGCGCACGTAAGCACGTACGTGTCGCTATTGCAGTGGCATCCTCATAATCATGACCATGCTCCGTCCCTCCTGTCAATGTTGTTTCCAAGCGATCAGACCCAGTTTCTTTAGCATGAGAAGATGTCAAGGCTGGTTGCGCTCCTTATGGAGAGGGAGGGCCCTCGCTGCAACTTGTGGCAAGCGCGCACAGCTCTCCATATTTACTTGTTTCCGTTCCAACTTCCAACACTGCTCCTCACCTGTCAACGCCCCAATCTCACTGTTATAAATTCCTTTATTCCCTTATTCCTTGTCTTTCCAATTTCCATGCTCAATATAGCAGCGACAGGATAGGTAAAAACACCTTATATATACATATATGAACGGAGGATGTAATGTTTTTCCCCTCCAGATTCGTTACTTTCTTTTTCTTTTTTTTCCTTTGGGATACAGAGGAAAAGAAAACGTAAGGCTGTTTGGTTGAATGTAAAAGTACTTCCACACAAATTAAGTTCTTCCCATATACTTATTTCTACAATTTATTTTGTATAGTGCAAAATTATTTTAAAATTAAGATTTGATTTTTTATCTAAACAGTGCCTAAATCAGTCCCGGAATAATCGGGCAAGTGACCATTACTTCCTTCATTCCTTTAGAAACTTTATAGTTACTTCCAATGTGCGTTGAAAGGACGAGTTCATAGGCTTAGGTTTTGTTTGAACCCGCTGCAGACGCGTGGATCTGACAAAGCCATACTGAAAAGAAGGGAGAGAAAGGATTCGACGACAGCAGGTGGCACAGCGAAGAAGGCATGGTCGGCGTCAGAAACAGAGAGTGAACCTTGTTGTTCCCTTGCGGATGTTGAAGGGCAACGTGGCATTGCCCGCTGGTCTTATCACTTCATTCTCAGATTCCCACAAGCCCTCGCATCACGCCCTTGCAATACTGTCACTTGTTAATTATACTATTAAAATGCTCGTCCTGACACATTCATAGTACGCACATAAATGCCTAACCTAGGACTCCCCGCTTCCCCCGCCGGACGGCCCTTGCCTCGCTATGTCCTCGTAACAACACTTGGCCAAATCACCTTCCCTGCTGCTTCATTCCGCGACCTCTAAGCAATTTTCACCGAGGGAAAATGGCAATTAGATGCTACTCAAAAGAATTAAATATAAAAAAATCTTTTGAAATTATAAAATTATTTTAAAGTTTTAAAAAAAAATTTGTATTAAATTTTATTTGTTTATTTACTAAATTACCTCTTTTTTTTAAGTTTATATTGACAAGACAACTGAAAGAGTAGTGGTTGACAACTCAGGATGTAAAGATTGACAACTATCGCGGTTGGTTTGATAACTTATAATGTGATATGCTGAGAAAATGTGTTGTCAAACCAGTCATGATAGTTGTCAATCCTTGTACCCTGAGTTGTCAACCATTACTCTTTCAATTGTCAATACAAAGCTTAAAAAAGAAGAAGGGTAATTTAATAATTTAACAAATAAAATTTATTACAAAAAGATCCTCTAGGACTTCAGAATAATTTTATAATTTCAAAGGACATTTTTATATTTAATTCCCTTAAGTGGGACCAAACTGCAATTCTCCCTTTCACTAATCCATGACTAATTGACCAGCCTATGTATATTATCGGCCTCCTATCCAATTCTCCTGAGCACGCGCATGTGGTCACCCCCCCCCCCCCAACTTTTTTATACAAAGAGATCATGCTCGCAGCACCACACAACAATGCCGACCCCTCGTTTCATCAACGCTCCTTTTTTTTTTTGACCGGACAACGCTCCTTAATAGTTGTGAAATTTATCCAAATAATATAAATCTAAACCACGGCAACAAGGAATAAGAATAAATATCTCTGAACATAAACAGCAGGTTCAGCCCATCTTTCTTTACTGCTGCTAAGGTGGGGGAAGGCTAACTCTCGTTCCAAATGGGGGCAACGGGATAAACAGGGTAAACAATAATAAAATTCCCTACGTACAAAAATTCAGACCGAGACAGCAAGACTATTGAAAGCATGCAATCATGAAGCAAAATACATGTTTTACGGGGGGAAAAAAAAAGAAGAAGCAAAATATACTTCAGGGAGCTTTATTACCCCCCCCAGCATGACAGCTGGACATTAAAAAGATCAATTTAATGACAATCCTGTCTCATAGCATTACAAATGAACATAAGTTCCAATTATTCATCGAGACAATCAGAGTTTTAGCTGCCAATCAGAAAAAGCAAAGGCATTTAAGTCTCATGGGACAAGATTCGTTCGTTTAGATGTCCTGTGAGACTTAAATGCCCTTACCTTTATTGATTTGCAGCTAAGACTCTTGCCATCTGAATAACAACCTACTTTTCACAGCATCTAATCCTGAAACCTAATCGTTCTTCGTCTATTTTTTTTTTTTTGAAAAAATTTCCCCACGTAGTACTAATGAACAAACACACGAAAAGAATGTAAGCAATCATTTCTTCTAGCAGCCTATGACTCAGGTGACCGTGAGCCTTCCTCGCCCGACTTCACTCATGTGTGAAGAAGCTCATCATTGTTGATTTTCACCGATAAAAAAACAGGAGGGGCATGTTCTGCAGCTAGTTTTGACTTGGCTCATTGAAGATTCCAGAACTTGGAACATCAGGAAGTTGATATGAACGAGGGATAATCCATCTTTGCCAATCATCCCGTCGCCTTACTTTGTCACCCTACAAGTTTGAGAGGAAAAAATAATTTGCTATTAAAATAAGACAGCTAATTATTAAGACATAAAAATAACACAAGTAAAGCACAGAAAAAATACCAGAATTTCGACAACAGTTGAAGTTTGAAGAACTTCTGATATAATCTGAATATTGTCGGTCAGTTCTTTGATCTGCAAAGAAAGAAAGTCACAAAAATATGCAAAATATTTACGAATAGACATAAAGCAATTGATGGGATATGAAAAGATATTTAGATTTTGAAGATTTATTTAGATTTCTCAGTATTTCATTATTTTGTTATCAGAGGATTAATTGTTGTTATTATTATTTTCAGTTTTCTCTCTGCTTGTTTCCTTTTCTCTGTTTTTTATTTTTTCTTCTATGCTTTTTCTAATCTCTTTCCATCATATTCCCTTATATATAGGTTTTTACTTTTGAATAGAAGAAAAAAACTGAAAGAATAATACAGTCTACACAACAAAACGTAAGCAGAAAATTTACCTTGCGGAAATTTGCTATTAATCTCACTGGAACCCAACCTTGTTCATCCATTTGTCTACGCAAGTACATATCTTTAATTAGGTTATCAAAGCTGCAATAGACAGGCACAATTGGTTAAAATAGGAAGACTAGGACAAATAATTGAGCAGAAGGCATCTAAATCTAATGTAATACCTAAAATAGTACTCGACTTGTCTGACAATCTTAACGCTCAATTCAGGATCCGGAGCTGAAACATTCCCATAAGGTGGCATATAAGGAGCAAGACTAGGAGGTAGAGCAGCATAATATGGAAAATTGGGACCAAATCCTGAAAATGTGTAGCATCATCAGCGCATAAATGTATAGCCATCATGCAAAATACATTTTGATATTTAGGAAACCACATACCGGGAGGGGGCTTGTGCGTGCCGCCATAAGTTGGTGGCACGAAAGGGGGAAAATACTGAGAAAATGGATAAGGCGACAGCGGCGGGCGGTGCAGAGCCCTTGTAAACCTGAGAAAACCTCCGGGTGGCATATGCATGTTCCCACCACTGTTAGTCCTATGAACGTTCCAATCTCGATGCCGCCGGTTTTGTCCACGCCTACCCGAATAACCGTATTGACTAGGACCATCTCCACGATGATGAAGATGCTGTGTGAGGACGTTAACATCATGAGACTGTGATCCATATCCACCGCTTTGTGTATTGTGGTTTGAAGAGGATTTTCGGAACCCCGTTGCATCCGTCGGACCTTCAAGTTCAGACTGTTGCTGGTGGCTGCCGGTAAAAGTCTCATGTGAAGCGTGATCACTCACTTGGCTACTTGTCATCGGAGTATTTGTTTTGGCATCATCAGGCGAGCTTCCACGACCCTATTATTAAAAATAACATGAAAAATGTTTGAAATAAGTATAAAAAATGTTTCGGAGGCAATGAACTTACTCACTGACAGTATTGATAATGGGAGAGAGAATAATCACTGAAATTAATCCCCATACTTCCATAACATAATCTTAAGAGGCATGCCAAGGGAAAAAGCAAACCTGAATATGGATTGAAGATAATCCATCGGCCAAATCATCGGATGAATCCGGAGACAATTTCGCAGTAGAAGCATCAGACTCTGCAGCTAAAATTTCAGCCAATTCGGATTTTGCACCATCCAGAGAGCTCCTATGATCATGAAACGAAGAGCGAACAGAATGAATGAGAGCGACAACATCCATGATGTACTAACGAAAAGAACGGCTAAAAGAGAGCAACGCAGAAGACAGATTCTTGAGTTCTCGGTCTCCCTATGATACGTTGCATTTGGGCCGAAAACAATGGTGTGTGTTAAATTTAAACTATTATTTGTATATTTTTCTTTAGCCAAGATATGATGAGATTATGTTATATTTTAATCAACGGGTAGTGATAAGATATATATAGCTTCAAGATTATTTTGATTTCATGTTTGTTTAATTGTAGAAAATTACATGCATTTTATAAACTTATTAATATATATTAAAAAAGCAAATTATGACACTCAATAAATAGATAAATGAGATCTCATTTGTATGACTAATAGATGTTATAACTTTTTATAAATTTTAAATTAACAAATTGATATGATTATAATATTATTATATTATTATAAATTCAATTAATCTGAGGCTTTAATTTTGTGCTTCTTATTTAATTTCGTTTGACACATAAGTGGTCCAAAAATAATTTGTTTCCCTTTTGTTTAAATATAAAGAGACTAGCTCTTGATTTTTTTTTCCTGTTATATCCCAAGTATAACTAACAAGGTTTCTCAAATGAGAAGAAACAGAAAATGATTCAAATATTTGCAAATAAATATCATAAAAAAGTTGAAGTTGATAAAATATTATTGAGTGATTATAATTTTGATTTTAGTGCCCAGAAATAATTTGTTTGCCTTTTGTTTAAATATAACGAGATTAACTCTTTATTTTCTTTTGTTATATCAGATGTATAATTAACAAGATTTCCCAAATGAGAAGAAACAAAAAATGATTTAAATATTTACAAATAAATATCATAAAAAGGTTGAAGTTGATAAAGTATTATTAATTCGTCGGGTAAAGTGATTATAATTTTGATTTTTAGTGGCCAAATTAGGATTTTTATTTTGCCAAACGTGCTCAAGTATTTCTTTTAGATCAATTAGGCTGGTATTTAATATAAAGTACAATATCTAGAATTTAAAAATAAATGTTAGAGATCTTTACTTTTTTTCGGTCAAAAGATATCATTACCTTTTGCGAATCGTAAATTCTGCAAATTTAAAATAATTAACTTTAACTTTTAAAAATTGCATTTGATGTACTGTTTATGTTATAGAATATATCTTTAAAAATATATATATTCCAAATAATTTCTAATTTCCAATTTCATGTATAGCAAACTAGCAATTTCATCCACAAGCAAAATAATAAATAAATAGATAAATATTAACCAATAACATGAGTAAAATGGCGTCTTCACACCCCATAGTAGTTGAGTTATATTTTTACAGTAGATTGTCGGGCTCACGTGATGCATGAAATTTAATATGATTACTATAATGATGATGTAGATTTCTAAGTAGATTTTATCTCGTAGGTAAGATATACTATAAAATATATTTCGAATCCTTCGATATTTAGGATAGATTTCAGAATCAAATTGGATTTTTATTTTTTATTTTTTTTTGATTGAATGTGCTTGTCTCAGTGGATTCCTTTTTTTAAAAAAAAAATTGAACATATTTAATTTGGAAAAAATATTAAGATACAAAATCATGAGTTTGCAGTTAGAATTAATTTTGAGAGTTCACAAAAGTTTCTAATTTAAATTTTTTCCGTTAGGATTCTTCAGTGCTCCTTATGTCAAGAAATTATTTCCACTAAAAATGAGGAATACAAATTTTCAATGGGACATGTTTAGTAAAAATAGAATCCTATTTGATAATATATGATGACAAATATTATCGACTTGCGTTATAAATTACTGGAGCACTAGTTGGAAATTATACAAGTTACAAATAAGAGGGTGTTAGTTACAAATAATTATTTTGGAACTTAATTGTGCTTAAATCAGTCCTCTTCTTTTTTGATTACATGCTTACATCAGTCTTTCAACGCCTAGATGTCATTCCTCGCTGAATCTTTAGTTTTTCTCACTTGGCATCAAAATCTTGATCATGACTTCCTAACTCTTACTCATCGAGTTCAGTTTTTCCCTCACATCTAAAGTGTTTGATTAATTCTTTCCGAATCAAACTGTTCATATTGCGATATGGAAACCTAGCATTTTAATTGACTTATTAGTTACTTTTTGGATTCTTAATATAGGACATAATTTGAGAATTAATATTGGTCATCTGTGCAAAACATGTTTCACATATTTATCAATCTTTTCTCAATTTAACCTTATTGATATTCTCTCAATAATAATCAAGTAGGTGAGAGAAGAAGAGAATTAAATATGATTAGAGTGTTTTAGAAAAATAAATAAATCATATTAACTAATTTAACTAATATTTTTAGTTTACCCAAATTAGTTAATCAGGTTTTACATATCACTTTATTGTGAACATTTTTAAGTGACTCATGTTTAAACATTTTCATGCGGCTGATACCAGTTTTCAATATTTTCATAGTGAATGGCACGTGTTGAATAATCAATTATGTATCAACAGGACGGCCTATAGTTGAACATAGAGAACATGTCACGAAGCTGGGTCGGTACCAGTTGAATTGGAATGGGAAACATCTTATGATCATTTTCCAAGTTCACTTTACAAGACACGCTTGAATATGATTGCTTTGAGATAAACATACAATTTTGAGGGAACAGAGAGTTATTTTGAAGCCATTTCTCAATCATGTACTTTTACTTTTGCGGGAAGTCGTAGTTTTTCTTGGTATCAAACAAAACAGGAATTCCTAATTGACCGCCCTGCAGTCCCTCCGGACCTCTTGCCCACCATTTAAGCTGCTCATTTTGATCATGGACTTCACAAAAGCCCTGTAAAATGCTCCTTCGGAGGCAGCAAACTTAGAAACCAGATTCTTGGTCTCTGGTGTTGTAAGCAGAGCTTGATCAGAAGAGAAGAGGACCTTCCCTTGGAGTATCAATTTGTAATAAGTATTATCAAAAGTAGTTGCCGAAGTGTCCATAGTGCTACCCGCATTCTTTGGCGTATTCTTGACCGGACAAATTGATTTTAGTTTTGCTGCAAATGACGGATTCAACGATGGGTCCACGTCATGTTTGGCATCAAAATTTTGGATTCTGTTCCTGAAGGATGAGCAGTGGGAGAAACCCAGAGTGTGTCCTCCTATACATGTATCAAAAGACAGTATTACTCTAAACTGTTTGCAAGAAACCTATTGGAAAGCAGTTTGGGTTCTCTGCTTTGCTTACCTGAGAGAGCTACCAAGTCTTCCAAAGATAGACCTCTTTGAGCGAAGTTCTTCTGCAGTTGTGATATGTTGAAAGTTTGTGCTGGCAGTTGAAAGCTTTCACTGGCCTTGGATACTCTTCCATCCTTTCTTCCTTTGGGAACATCCCAATATGGACCTCCGGACTGCAATTTAAAAATAGCTCTCATATTCTTTGATACTGTCAAAGGTTGCATACTCAAAATAAATCTTGAGGTCTCACGTTGTTTTTATACTTTCTACTAAGGATTTGTAGTTTGAGCCCAATCATAAATGAAGATATCAGCATCTCAATGATGAAATGAGTTACTTGAGTATCCATGTAACATGAACTGTGGTTCTCCATGTTAGTGCTTAAGGACATAATGGTCCCATGGAATTAGTATAACTTATTGGGGGGAAAAAAACTGAGCTCTGCATTTTCTTTACTTACCAGAAAAACTGCATCCCTGGCTGCTAGAGCTAGGATATCAGCACAAGAGACTACGCCGGGGCATGAATCTTCTACTTCCCTCTTTGCATTATCAATGACATAGAACGCATGCAAAGAAATGTTTGGTGGTCCATCTTTTTCTGCTTTGTGCTTCACTTTTGAGTTTAGTAGCACTGAGGCATCACATCCCTTCAGAAAAGAGACAACAGATCAGTTCAAATGATAAAAGGTACAAGAAGGGAAAGAAGGAGAGGTTGTTTGAATCATCACCCTAACGAAGCAATCGTGAAAGTGCATTCTCAGAAGTGCCGCAGGAGCAGTGTTGTCACTGGCAGTGGCCTTCTTCACAGCCTGAGCAACTATTGACTCCAAATGAGGGCAAGTTTTCTCATAGTAGTTTGAACTCAGAGAATTCCCTACTGAAACTAGCGAGAAGATGAGGATAAAGCTCAAGAAAGGAACCATAACAGCCATGCTTGTTACTAATTTTACCAATTTTGCTGTGGGAATCAAAGGTGCACGTACCGGCTTTTAAAGGGGAAAAGAGATATTGGTTGGTTCTTGGCTCTGGGACTTACTGCAGCGTACCTTGTGGCCCCAAATGTTCAATTTGTTAAGCTAGATTGTCAATTGAGGTGTACCCCTATCATTTGAGCCTTGTCATTCCAAAAGACGACAGACTTTTTCATTAAGATAATATTTGAAGCCTGGAGCAGTTTGGGGTGGTTGGTGCGGCCTGCGCCTCCCAATAACAACGTTAATCAATCGAATATTTGGGTTAAAGTACATCTAGAGAATAATTAAAAAGTCTTGTAAAGTGCTAATGGACTTTTCAATTTATAGAATATTTGTGTCGGACTTGTGGCGTTTATAAATGTGTATATAAAGCATAAGACATAATAGCAGCGAGGAGATAGTGGTAGTTTGAGAATTAATTAAGAAATCGCGATGTTTGTAGTGTGATTTATGAAACAAGGAATGATGGCAGAGTAATTGACAGGAGAGGCGAAGTAGAAAGTTCGAGTGGGAAGTGTGGTAGGCCAAGGTCGGATGTGAAATAATTAGAGTATGGAGCCAACCATCGATGATATGCTATTGCTGTAAGCCACGGAAGAGCTGTTGAATAGTCATTCCCCCTCAATTATGACAAGGAATCCCAAATGTCTTGCATCGAAGGTGGTTGAGGTTGGGCCGTCTCATCGCTGGTATTTTTGTCGCCTATAATTGAAAATCCAAAACTTCCATTTCATGTCCTTAACTCAGCTTTGTTTGCTTGTGATCTTTTATAACAAATTAACAATTTCGGAGCTTTCATGTTGACGTGGACTGCCCATTGACTCGCACGTAATCGCTTTCACCCCAATAAAATATAGGATGAAATATAATTAAAAGGTCAGGAACCTCTCCTATATTATCTTTGGACCATATTATGACACTCGTCCAAGTGTATTACCATATTACCTCTGGAATCTTTGGAACACGTTTGTTTCTTTTTTCTTTTTTTAAAATTTTTTTGGCATTGGAACTAGCTGGGAAGGCTGACTTGACAAACATGCAAGTTGCAAGACAATGGGTTCAGTGAATATGGATATTTGAAGATCTTCCGGGAATCAGGAGATGCCAATGAAACTCAGACGGTGGGAGAACTGTAAAGAATTTACAGTTTTCCCCCCAAATGTGGCGAGAAAATGGCAAAGCAAGGGTTGAACGATCACTCAATCGTGATACTAGCTTGTTATGGTTTTGGAAATCATTGAGCTCAATCTGATTTTTTTTTTCTTTTTTTAAACGTTACTTGATCTCCATGAACACAATCGAGCTCAGCAGAGAATTAAAAACGGAAGAATAAGCGTTTTCTTGATGAAAAGATTAAAGCAATCATCGATCGGAAATTATCGTGCTGGATTTTAATTCAATATAGGTCGCTGATGATCCAAAACTTCCGATGATTAAGAGCAACTGAAGTTGGTTTCTCATTTTGTCTTGGCCTGTGGTCGATTGTTAATTTCGGTTTTCAATCATATGTCCACAACATTCCGCCGTCCTTCCCTCAGGCTTCAACTGCATTAAAAAAGAAGAAGAAAGATTCATATCAAAGAGCGTTTTCAAGGCTGCAATAACGACTCCAACTCGGCTAACTATCGTTGCTGAGTTCTTTGATTTCACATCCTTCTATATTTCAACTTGGGAAGATGACTATACGTTTGCTAATTTTAGCTGTATTGTGGATTATAGCATCACCTTGTGTATTTTAATCTTTTCACTAGTAATTGATCTTATCTGGGGGGAAAAAAAGAAAGAACCGAGATCGTAAACAAAGACCTGCTCATAATGATGGGTTGGATTTCATAACAAAACGCTTTTCTTTTCTTCTCTTATTGCAGTCTTCCCTCCTGCCGAAAAGCCATGCTTTTTTTTTTATTTTTATCCCCAACAAGCTGAGTTTAAAGTTCTTTTAAAAAAAAAAAACTGAGTTTAGAATTGAAGTAACTAATCCCTCAACCTTTACCATATAAAAAATGATTCGTAATTAACAGTCCATAAGCTCTATAAAAAATATTAAATGGATGTTTGGATTAAAATTATAACTGCTATTAATTTAAGATTATAACTACTTATTCATTTGATGTAACTATTCTAATATCCAGAGGTAAACTCTCCCTTTAATTATGCTTATCAATATATGCTTGAACAAAACTACTGTCCAACCTTTTTCCCCACTTAAACACTACAATGATATTAAATATGAGCATTTCTGTATGAGAATTTTAAGTCTCAATTCACTATTTTACGCCACTGGTTGGGAAAGGAAAAAAAAATAAAAATGCAAACGGGTAAATGGAATATCCAAATTATTTCTTGGGACCCCATTTCAGAGCCTGCCAAGTTAGGTTTTGATCTTGACAAGGTGGTTACTGTTTTTGATAGGCCTCCGCGCATGGTCCAGAAGCTAGTGTACTTAGACTTTGTGGGAACCTCTTTCCCACACTCCGTGAAATGACAATTTTCTTGGGCTGAGGCCCCCTATTCTCACCAAAAAAAGCTGCAGGGTTGGCTGTCCCATTGGCCCAAAAGAAGAGGCCTGGCTGCGGCCTGTATGCAGGGATATGTTTCGATACAGGCCACCAATATGTTCTGGGCTTTTGAACCGGCTGACCATTCTATACTTCTTTTTGTATTTCCCCTTTTCCCCCAGCCGAGGAGAAATCTCTGCGAACGACGATGCTTCCGCCCCGCCAAAAAAGTAACAACCTGGGCTGGCGAAAACCCTAACATTTTGAAAGCCGCTGACCTTTCCTCTGTCCCTGCTTGAGAGTGCACATGCCAGTGTCTAACCAGAATGGGATCCGAAAAGCGCTTCTTGGAGAAGCTGAATAAGAAGAAGAAGAAGAGTAAGAAGAAGAGTGATGGTAGTTCGAATTCAGTTCCCTCACCTGGGGTGCCAGAAAATCGTGGTGGAGGAAAAAACATCCTCGGCGGCAAGGTCGTATCCGACCCTCGGTTTTCATCTCTGCACACCGACCCTCGGTTCCGGGAGCCTCCGAAGCGCAAAACAAAGGTGGCGATCGACTCGCGATTTGATCGCATTTTCACTGATAAGAGCTTTTTACCGTCTTCTGCTCCGGTGGACAAGAGAGGGAAGGTCAGGCAGACAAATTTGCGGCAGGGTTCTCTTCGCCATTATTATAAAATGGATGAAGAAGGAAAACGAGAAGATGAAGAGGATGTAGAGGAGGGAAGCGACGAAGACGACAAAGGGGACGAAAGAGGACAGAGGTTGGTTGAATCCGATGGGGGAACACCGGTGGAAGAGTCACTTTCCGAAGACGAGGACAATGCCTATGAATTGGCATCCTCTACGGATACAGATGGAGATGAAAGTGCTGATGAGGAACTTTACAATGGAGAATTGTCTGAGATGCAGGTATGTCTTTTGTGCTTAATTTTGGAACTCTGAACTCTTTGTGTAAACAATTGGAAGAAATTCAAGAAGGTTGCAAGCTGTGCCACTTACGTGCGTACTCGATCATCAGGGAGAAGCATTGTAGGTGTGAGTTCTTCAAAGAATTCGGGTTTAGCTCCTCTAAACCTCGTTACCCTATATTTGCAAGAGGAGAAAGGGATGAGATTTTAATGGGACCACTTTCTCTTTGCTTTATGGGAACTTTACGATCAACAATTGAGATTGTTTCCTCAGAATTCTTTGTTGTTCTCGGCTAAACTCTGCAACTTTTGGTTTCTCAGCTTCTTCTTCTTTTTTGTTTTTTAATATTTTCTGACATTATCTTTACGGGATCATTCTTTGGACAGGAGGAGGTGCCAGAAATTGACAAAGAAACTCATAGGCTTGCTGTTGTTAATATGGACTGGAGATATGTGAAGGTATGCTATTAACACTTGTATATGTAATTAATTTTATTGAAATGTCCATTCATTTATCTCGTATGACACACGGAAAATTTAACTCTTGGAATGAGCTCCTCTTGCACAAATCCTTGAGTGTTAGGAATGGGAAAGCAAGATCTAACCTAAGTGCGGTAGAATTTCTGTTACCTCCCGGGGTGTTGTAAATTGAAGAAGAATTATGGGCTTTTTAAACTGATTATTTTATGGTTTATATTTTTATTCTAGGTACCTTTCCTTTATTATTGGTCTGAGGTACTTGTTTCATACTTCAGGCTGTCGACTTGTATGTGTTATTGAGTTCATTTGTTCCGCCAAATGGACAAATAAAATCTGTAGCTGTCTACCCATCTGAATTTGGCCTTCAACGCATGAAAGAAGAGGAAGTTCATGGTCCTATTGGCCTCTTCGAAGATGAAGCCACTCAAAATGACCAAGATAGCAGCGACAGTGAAATTGAAAATGAGAAATTGCGTGCGTACGAGAAAAGCAGGATGAGGTGACCATCGTCTAAAGTTAAAATTACTTGTGTTTAGAAATCTTGACTTGATTGGCGTTAGTCATAATGGATATATGGAAATTGAAAATTATTTTTACTTTCATTGAGTAAACCTGCTGACTAGTAAAATTTAGCCAGTTTTATTTAAGGTTCTTAGTCCCCCCCCCCCCCCCGAGGTGGTGGGTACTTCAAGGATTCAGTCTTTATTCATATTTGTACGTTCTAAGATGTTACACATTAATTTTTTTTAATCCTTTACACGAAGGTGGGAGATGATGTATATAACTTAAATAATCTTGTAGCTATGCAGCTGCCTTGTGCCAGTTCTCTTTTATTACTATGTAGCATGGAGTCCAGTGTTGCAAATATTATATTTCATAACTACCTCACGATTATCTGATGGTGATTAAGGCTAAACGACCAACTCGAGGGTTATTCATATTTTGTCTCTTTGGAGAGTGTAGGTTGGTGTCAAGCATTTTATTGATGGCACTTGGATGATGCATCTCTCATTGATAACTTAGAAAATCAATTTACCTTTTCAAAGTTCCCGTTTAGTGCTTATTGTAGTTATGCAATGGGGATGTTTATCATGTCTGCAGCTCCCCACATCACTCTGCTTTCCTCTCTTGTTGATGCATCTTGGTTCTTTCCCTGGCTTTCTAGGTACTATTATGCTGTGGTGGAATGTGACTCAAGTACGACGGCGGACCACATTTACAAAGAATGTGATGGGCTGGAGTTTTTACAATCTTCAAATGCACTCGATTTAAGGTTTATTCCTGATTCCATGGAAATCAAAAACCCACCTCGTGATGTTGCTACTGAGGTATCTGTCTTTGTTTCCATTTTGCTTTTTAGGATACCCATTGCATTTGATGAATAAAGTGGGCTATTCAAAACCGTATTCTTTGCTGCACAAACTTAGTTAAAGATTTTGAGCGCTGTCTTTTCTTAGGCTCCGGCAAACTATGAGGGTAAAGATTTCTACACACGAGCACTCCAGCACAGTAAAGTGCATCTTTCTTGGGATGAGGATGAACCTCTTCGTGCAAAGACCTTGAGACGGAAATTCAATGATGACCAGGTCAGTGTGCTTCGTGTGTAGGGATATTGTATTGGTCTTTCTGTGGTGTTCTTTCTGTTGAATTTGGCTGCTTCTTCTCATCAATTTTCTTTCCTGCACCCTTTGATAGCTAGCTGAGTTGGAATTGACAGAATTCTTGGCATCTGATGTGAGTGAAAGCGATGACGATGATGAGGAGACGGAGGATAACAATGAGACAGAGAATCATTCTGATAAAAAGACAAGGAAACTAGAAAAATATCGTGCTTTACTGGAGTCTGGTGATGGTTCAGATGGAGATGGTGAAGAAGATGGTCAAGATATGGAGGTAACCTTCAATACTGGTTTGGAAGACCTTAGTAAACATATACTGGAAAAGAAAGATAAAAAATCAGAATCAGTTTGGGAAGCATACCTGAGGAAAAGACGTGAGAAAAAGAGGGCTAGAAAAAGTAAATCAAAGCATTCATCATCTGATGATGATATTAGTGACACTGATCAAGATGCAACTGAGCAACCTGATGATTTCTTCATGGGGGAGCCTCCCATCAAGAAGAGAAAGGAGGAAAAAGGTAAAAAAGAACAGAAGCACCAGGTCGTAGATGGGGCAGATAAAGCAACCAAAGAAGAGCTTGAGTTATTACTTGCTGATGACCAAGGGGCAAATAATGGTCTCAGGGGATATAATTTAAAGCTTAAGAAGGCCAAGGGCAAAAGGGCTAAGGAAACTGTGGATGAGGCAAAAATACCCAGTTCTGACCTTGATGATCCACGTTTTGCAGCTCTTCTCACTTCACGGGATTATGCATTGGATCCCACTGACCCACAATTTAAAAGGTATCTCCTGTGCAATATCTCTTTACGTTCTTATAGAAGAATTGTCGCTTTTGGTTTAAATAGAATGGCAGAAGTTCTAGGGTCTTAATAGGGTGAAAAATAGAATGTTCTATGCGGAAGATCACATGTGAACGGTCTTGTTTAGCTGGTGGTATTTAACTGATGACCGACTTTTATATGAGTTTTTTCTTTTATTAATTGATAAGGTTGGCTGATCTTGATCTTCTTAATTGGACTTCCCTGTTTCCAAGTTCAACTGAATTCTTTCATGCTAACAAACTATTTTGGCCTTTACAGGAGTGCAGCTTATGCCCGGCAGAGAGCTCATAAACTTCAGAAGGGAGATATTGACATTTTGGCGGAAGAGGAGCAGTTGAAACTTTGTAAAGGAATTGAGTTCTCATCTAATGATGCTGGCGTAAAGAAGGGGGAGGAAGAAGGATCGGATGTTCTGGAGCCAAAGAAGGAGAAACATGATTTATCATCATTGGTCAAATCGATTAAGATGAAGTCAAAGCAAGTACAGTTACCCTCATATGATAAGACAAAGAGAGATGGCAAATTACAATCTGGAGGTATGAAGAAAAGGAAGCACTAGAATTCCTATCACTGGTTCAATGAACTGATGCGAATGATCCATATTTAACATGGAAACGCGTGTTGAACATGGAGTGTCCTTTTGTCAAGGGTGTACTTGAGAATGTCACCGGTTCGTAAGGCACGTCTCACATGATTTTGAATCCACATTTTATGATGCAAACAGTTACATAGGCATTTCATCAGCCCATTTAAATTGTTTCATATAGATTCATTGAGGTTATGAAATATGCATCCGCTTTTAATGTTCTCGTGAATTCTGATAATCAATTTATAGGGACATATTCTTTGTCTCTGGGGTTCCGTTATATTGTTTTTCCTTTCCATATCACCATGCTGCAATCTGCTAACAATTTGAGGATTTGAACTGGCGATAAGAAGGGGCCGAAAAAGGGGGAAAACCAGCAAAACCTAAAATGTGTAAATTCTATTATATATCAACACACTGTATACATTATGTACAAACACATTATTCTAATAAGATCTAAAGAATCGGAAGCAACAACGCTTCTCCTGTGCTCGACCAAACTAGAAGCCTATAATGCTCTCGAAATTTCAAATAAAGCGAATGCCTTTAAATAATACAAAATTGATTAACTAAACAATGGCTAAGAGTGGAAACAGAACCGCCATAAATGTGAAAGTAGAAGGGTTCCGAATGGGTGGGCTATTTGATGTGTCTTCAGGATTTGCAGCAAGAGCAGGTGTGTGAGCTTTGTTAGTAGGTGAGTCGTTGGAGTTGGAAGGTACGTCATCGTAACCTGAGGAGAATCATCTCATTGCAGTTAGCACTTAGCAATTATCAACATAGATGATTAACTTGTGATTAAAAAATTGCAAAGCTTGGACCCATGACAGGTAAATCATACTCACAATTGGATTCTTTCCAACCAAGAATCATGTTGTCACGATCAAAGGCTATGCTGTAACCGGTCATGAAGTTCTCTGCATGAAGAGTTAGATATGATGAGTGTCGCAGGTGGAAAATCATTACTCTTATACTTGGGATTGGAGGAGTAGAAAACATGAATTTTCCAAGTGCTAACGCTTACGAAATAACTCCACAGAAGCTAGATAAATTGTTTATTGTGAAGCGTTGGTGCACGATTTGTGTGATGACCACAACAAATCATGCAGAACATGTATCGCGCGGTATGATAAAATTGTATGTGAAACTTCATGATCACATGCTTTTATCAAGTGACTGTTTTTATGGGAAAAAGGGTAGATCAATGAGACACTCACGCCCAATTATATTGACGTCATCACTTTTCACGATCCCGAGGCAATATCCAGCTGGACCATCCTGGAGAGGGGACATCACAAGAATTAGGGGACTGGGAAGAGGTATCAGATATCAGAATGTATTAGTTGGACCATTGTCCTCACCCCATCGTAAAGCATTAGCAGTGGATTAGTGACATAGTAATTGTCCCCACCCTTCATGGTAAGATTCAACACAGGGACTTCGAAATTGGTCTGATTTGAACTGCAGAAAATGCAAGTCAGTCTGGTTATTTGAAAAGACAAGGCTAAGGAAGCCGTGGTTTCGCCACAGAAATTCCAAACCTTAATTCATAGCAGTATTCAAAGGGGAGATCTTCGCCTGATGAGTGTCGGTTTTCTTTAATCAGAGAATCGAACTGCAAAACAAGAGCAACTGAGTTACTCAGGACATGAATAATGGAACTAATGAAGCCATTTTCAATAGCTACAAGTTACTTACACTCGTAGTAATTTGTGTATAAGCTGGGTCGTTTAGGTATGTAAATGAGGTACCAGAGTCAAAGATTGCGTAGAACTCAAGATCAGTAGTATTTCCTCCAACAATGATTTGAGTGATGCTGATGTTGTAGGTTGGTCTGTCAAAAGATGTTTCCAGGGAAATGTGCATAATTTGTGCGAAAGCTATACACGGGAATTTCTACTTTCGTAACTGTTGATGTAAGTATTAATTTTTTAGATCGTAAGTAAACAACGGGCAACGGCCACTTACTGTGATGATCTGATGTTGAATGGTGTTTTTCCTTGGTCTGAGCTGCCATTATCTCCAAACCTGATTCTTCCGACACCATCAGCTCCAAAACACATGGAAAACGAATTCGAAGTGAGCCCTTCTCTAGCTAACATGCTAGGGACTGAGATACTATGCATACCGAGTCCAAGTAGACCATTTGGAGCTGCACCGCTCAGGAATGAACCAGTCTGAATTTGACCGCATCTGCATGGGTGTTAGATTACATCCAGGTTAATAATAACTAATGATATCTATGAAAGAGAATCAGACAACCATAATAATGAAATGTTTTCCAAATATTGACATTGAAAACTTCACTATTTTAATCATTAGCCAGCTAAAGGTTTCATGCACATAGACTCTGTTATGAGCATCAACCTTCCCCGAGGAAAAGCTTTTAGCAAAAAGCTTGCAATGTTATTTACCCCAAAGTAATACGCGCGTCATGTTCTTTTTTCTGATTATCATCTGTAATTAAGTGCAAAACATCCTCTACCAGAACCCCAGAAGATGAAGTTCCGTTTGAAAGATATTGAATCTGATATGGACAACCACTGTCAGATGAAGGGCACCGTCTTTGTTGTTCACAGAAGGTGCTGTTGCATAGCACCTTCTTGCTCGTGGATGATGCATCAGGACCATAGATATTAAGTTTAATATCCTGTCAAATAGAAGTATGAGGAAAATAATTACCACCGAATGGGAACTTTCCCATAAATGTTTAAGACTTATCATGAACATAAACTTGGCAAAATGACCACAATCAAAGCGATAGACACATAACCTCCAGTAAGTAAGTAATCTGCTAAAAACAGAACTTCATATATGGTCTTTTCGTGGCAAAGCAAACTAAAATCTATTATTAAGGTGACAAACGTTAGTCAGACTAACATGTAGCTTGAAGCTGCTAGAGCAAAGATGGGTATGTTCTTTTGCCTAATACTTCTCCAGTGTACCAATAACTTATAAGTTGTGTTTGAATTAAACAACGCACTGCATAGGAGAGGCTGGATGCTTCATTTTGCCTAGGATATTACAAGAATCTTTCCATTGAAATGAAATTTCATAGATGAAAATTTGCCAGGGTGTTTGGTTTGGGCAAATTCCCCTTCTAAAAAATAGTCGAGACAAAACTCTTCTTACATACATAATACGTATATCGTAAAATTACTTTTAAAATTATAGTTTAGTTTTCACCCAAACAACCCAATGTAATCCAAAACTTCAATTTAATAGTTGGTTAGCGACTTGCAGGATATATTTCTGCTTCTCCCTTCTCCCTTTCCCAACAAATAACCGTTAATTAAGAATATGCAACTTCTGCAAAGGAAGGAAAAAACCGAAGAAAACCTCAAAGTAATTGAAAATGAAAGCAAGAGATGACAAAATTGATAACCGCGGCGTACCTGACCATTTTCTGACGGCAGCGACTTCACACAGCTGGTACAATTGCATGGTAACCAGAATAAATCACTACCCGTATCCAATGCCACAAGAAAGGATAAAGCTGGTGTCCCAACGGAAACATTGGCATAATATAGACTGAAATCCAAAATAGAGGCAAATCATCAGTAACAACAGTTTTACTCAACAAGGGTCCTGGTAACAGAATCCGCCGCGCTTTGTGTTCAAACTATTTTAGTTTCAGCAATAATTTCTATACAGTTATTCTAAATGTAAATATGTCTTACATATGGGCATTCTGAAAGAAGCATGGACATTGTGACATTTGATAAAATACGAAATAATCATGTATAATCAATCTGAGAAACACTGAGGTGCTGCAGAGACAGACACGTCCCTACTCAAGTGTCGTTGCATGGGAGCAGGGTATCAATGCTTCTTCCTTGGCCAATAGAAGGGTTGTCATTTTTTTCCCCGGCCAAACAGGGTATCAATGTTAACTCAAAAGAAGAATGCGTAAATCTATCAAACTGAAAAATATCTTTCGACCCACAGAATACTATAGGCCAATTGAGTTACTCGCGGATATTATCTGAATTCCAAGCTCAACTCAGAATGCAGATGGCCAGATATTATCTAATCCGAAAGGAAAATCAAAAATCGTGAAAGTGAAGGAATAAAATTTAGTAGTGGTTGAAGAAGTCATACTATCCAAAGGAGCTAAGCCGATAAGTTTCATTGCCGCCGTCAAACGTTAGAACCGTCCGATCGCCATCGGCTAGTCCACGGCCTCGGAATATACGGTCTCGGTGAGACATAGCAACATAGTATTCCCGACTTCCCTTCTCCGGCAGGTCTTGAACACCCAGAATTCCCTTAATAGGCTCAGAGTACCTGTGGTGGACATCGAACCCGAATGTCCGGAAACCATAACATCTCTGAGAAGCTAAACTCATCACCAAGAACAGCAATCTATAAAGCGAACTACGACTGAAAGACCAAGCCATGAGTTTAAGCTGTACGGAGAACTATTGCGGAGAAAGAAACTAGCTGAATTTTCCCGGAATTCTCTGCTCAGCTGTGTGACACGACGGCTAGTGTCAGGATGCGTATGCCGGGCACCGCAAAAATATGGAAGGCCTCGGTCGGTGACGCAAGCGTGAAGCTTACAGAGAGAGAAAGGGAGGAAGATGGATTGGACGCTGTTTAATCCAGCCTTCTGGCCAGGAGTCCAAGTTTTCGACGACGAATACATGGACGTAAGGTGGGTCCCAAGTTTAAATATTATACGATTTCCCCCTGATTAGTAAACTCATGGCTCGTTGAGCTATGATTGATTGAGAAGTTTTATGTTTGCTCCTGTATAATTCTATCTGGGAGCCTCTTACTCTCGTAAACAAATTAATTTTGAGATAATTTTAAAAAACTGATTTGTAATTTTAAACTAAACATACTAATTTTAATTATAAACAAAAATATGCTTATACTATAAATTTTATAAAGTTAAGACCCTCTTCGCTTAACTTTTGCTACACTGTACCTTTAGTGAAAACATTATTTTAATTTTTATGTGTGAAAAGGAGCACTTTGTGCGGGAAGGCCAACTTTGAATAATTCATCATCCAAGACGAAAAGAAACATGACCATTGTATTTTACAAATTAGTCACTAAGATTCTAGAATGCAAAGACCTACCTAACACATTCTTTAAACTCCCGTAATGAGTATATTTGGGATTTAACTTGAATTTCCATGAATATGAATTTTGGATGTTGCATGACAGCATAGGGTTTGAAAAATTCAGTCTTCATAAACCAGTAATACAATTCGATACTTAGTTTACGTTTTAAATTAATAATATTTTATTTTTATGTATTAATTTAAGGGA